GGGGGTATTAGTTATCACTTGGCTTACATTTCTAGTTTATATTGGAGTGGGGGTATTAGTTATCACATGGCTTACAGTTCTAGTTTATATGGGAGTGGGGGTATTAGTTATCACATGGCTTACAGTTCTAGTGTATATGGGAGTGGGGGTATTAGTTATCACTTGGCTTACAGTTCTAGTGTATATGGGAGTTGGTGTATTAGTTATCACTTGGCTTACAGTTCTAGTGTATATGGGAGTGGGGGGTATTAGTTATCACTTGGCTTACAGTTTTAGTTTTTATGAGAGTGGGGGTATTAGTTATCACATGGCTTACAGTTCTAGTTTATATAGGAGTGGGGGGTATTAGTTATCACTTGGCTTACAGTTCTAGTGTATATAGGAGTGGGGGGTATTAGTTATCACTTGGCTTACAGTTATCTTATCTGTTTACAGGGAGACATTGAAAAGAAGACAAACACATACTTTGAGGATCTCCGGAGGTATCTGTTGGACATGGAGTCACCCACTTCAAGTCACCTGATTGACACAGACTACACTGTTTCAAATCCTCCTGATGAGCTGGAAATTGGAAACCTTAGACAAAAAATTGTTGACCTTGCATCTAAGCAAGCATACTGGGGAGAAAAGATTCCAGCCAAATGGATAACCCTGGAAAAAGCTTTGATGGAAAAGAAGATTGAAGGTGTCAATATTATGTCATATGACAATGTTGTAGAGCTAGACAAAAGTACTGGAGTTCCCATTGATGACCAAGAGAAAATAGATCTGTTCTTGCGCTTTCAGCACGCTAAAGGAAATATGATTTACTTCAATGAAGATTGTCTTCGGAATTACATAGTTCTCAATCCACAGTGGCTGATAGATGCATTCAAATGTATCATCACAGCTCAGCAATTCTGCACCAAGAACCCCGCTTTGGTAAAGCACTGGAAGGCCCTCGACAAAACTGGAAAGCTGTATCTAGGTATGGTGGATGAAATATTTAGAAGAGAAGAAAAATTCTGTCGACATAAAAAGCATATACTGGGTCTGATGGAACGTCTTCACATCATAAGCCACCACGTAGTGGACAAAGATGATGACAAAAGCAACACATCAGAAGAGTTCTACTTCGTGCCATCATTACTAAAGGACAAAGTTACAGAGTGCGAAATAGAAAACTATGTCAAAGGCACAAACGGAACCCCCTACTTGTGTTACGTCTTTGAGAACAATTTCCTGCCAACCGCTGTGTTCCATCGTCTCATTGCTGCCTGTCTGTCCGAATACACAGTAGCAAAACAGGAATCAAAATTCCTGATATTCTGTGGATGTGGGATCTTTGATCTGAATGGTGGGCTGACACGTCTAGTGGTGGCTTTCTATGACAGCGTCATTCAAATTGGACTGTTCAGGCTCAGTGAAGGAGGATTTGCACCAGAAACCTCTACATGTCTTTCGGTACGACAGTTTGTAACAGAGACCCTGGAGCGTGTTCTAGGCCGATACGACATGAACTTGCCATTCACACTGAATTTAAAGTGTGAGAAGAGTCATCATCTATCTCATGAAGGTTTGCTGTCAGTAGATGATGTAATAACAGGAGGTAAAGAAGTGGCGTGTCATGGCCATGAGAAGGATAACCACACCATCACCAGACATAGCCTCCTACATCTTTGGTTCCCTGCTCAGGTATCATCTTCAACAATGTAGTAGAACTCATGTAAATAAAACACAGAATAGTGAGATAAACCTAGTCACACAGTCGTCTGCTATCTCAGATAAATAACCCTGATATCTCAGATAAATAACCCTGATATCTCAGATAAATAACCCTGATATCTCAGATAAATAACCCTGATATCTCAGATAAATAACCCTGATATCTCAGATAAATAAACCTGCTATCTCAGATAATTAACCCTGATATCTCAGATAAATAACCCTGATATCTCAGATAAACAACCCTGATATCTCAGATAAATAACCCTGCTATCTCAGATAATTAACCCTGATATCTCAGATAAATAACCCTGATATCTCAGATAAACAACCCTGATATCTCAGATAAATAACCCTGCTATCTCAGATAATTAACCCTGATATCTCAGATAAATAACCCTGATATCTCAGATAAACAACCCTGATATCTCAGATAAATAACCCTGCTATCTCAGATAATTAACCCTGATATCTCAGATAAATAACCCTGATATCTCAGATAAACAACCCTGATATCTCAGATAAATAACCCTGCTATCTCAGATAATTAACCCTGATATCTCAGATAAATAACCCTGATATCTCAGATAAACAACCCTGATATTTCAGATAAATAACCCTGCTATCTCAGGTAAATAACCCTGCTATTTCAGAAAAACTACCCTGCTATCTAAGATAAATAAACCTGATATCTCAGATAAACTACCCCGCTATCTTAGATAAATAAACCATATATCTCATATAAATAACCCTGATATCTTAGATTAATTAACCCTGCTATCTTAGATAAATAACCCTTATTTTTCAGATAAATAACCCTGATATCTCAGATAAATAGCCCTGCTATCTCAGATAAACAAACCTTATATTTCAGATAGATAACCCTGATATCTCAGATAAATAACCCTGATAAATCAGATAAATAACCCTGAAAAATCAGATAAATAACCCTGATATTTCAGATAGATAACCCTGCTTCCTCTGATAAATAACCCTGATATTTCAGATAAATAACCCTGATATTTCAGATTAATAATCCTGATATTTCAGATAAACTACCCTGCAATCTCAGATAAATAAATTTCTATCTCAGATAAACAACCCTGGTATCTCCGATAAATAACTGATATTTCAAATAAATAACCCTGCTATCTCAGATAAATAACCCTGATGATTCAGATTAAGAACCTTGCTGTCCCAGCTAAATAACCCTGTTATCTCAGATAAAGAACCTTGACACTTCTGATAACCCTGCTATAAAAGATAAATTACCTTTACTTACTTCTAACTTCAAGTTCTAAGGTCACAGGTGTAAAAAGTGTTCAAAACCTTCAAACATCTTCTTCTGTTAGCCAGGAGGCCCAGAGTACTTAAACTTGGCCAGTAGGTACCAGGGACAGAGTGCTATAAAGTTTCATAGAATAAATTACATTAACTTTTGGGTCAAAATGGTAAAAAGTGTTTAACACCTATAAACATCTTCTATTGAATAACCAAGAGGCAAAGAGCAATGATATTTGTCAAGTAGGTACCTGGGACAGAGTGCTATAAACTTTTTTTAAATAAATGACCTTGACCTACTTTCACAGTCACAGGGGTCAGATATGTATATTCCAAAATATGGAAATATTTGCAGATTAGTACTTTTATTGAGAATATTTTCCCATGATTGCTCAAATATCCAGGTGATGGATACAGGCCCTCTGGGCCTCCTGCTAACTTATAGTGTGGTACAGCATCAGCCAATCAACTTTACTTTGAAATGTTACTTGTCTACAATGCCNCCCCCAGCACACACTTCTACAACCTGGAGCAAAGGTGAAGCCAAATAATTATGTGAAATAATGATGAGAAATAAAACTCCCCTTTCCCCTGTAGAAAAAGAAGGATTTTGTTCAAATTTGCTTGTAATAGGGGAGTCAAATTTGTATACATGAAGGGTATGCTACACCCCCTTGAGTCAGAGGTATATGGGGCTATAGGGAAAATAGAGCTACATTTTTAAAATTCTTCTTCTGAAATACTGTAAAGAATGCCCGATGAATCTTCAAATGTTGCACCAAGAGCTTAGTTGCCTGGTGGTTTGTTATTTTAAAACTTGTTAACCATTCTGAAAACTTGGGGCTAAAATAAAGTAGTCGAACCTCTTTATCTCGAAGTCGACGGGGTCGTGGAAAAACTTCGAGTTATCCGAGTATTCGAGTTCTGCGGGTTCATAAATTTGAAATTTGCTGTTTGGACATAGCACTAGCAGTTGATGATTTTATTAATAGCCAATGATTATAATCAATCGATGAATGATATACGTAATCAATATATCAAAAACAGGTATGTAGTTTTACAATAAACACGCTTACAAAAATACTGTAGGCCTGTATAGTGTAAGTTATTTCCGAAAAACGTACTTTCGTTTAACGCGATCAAAACGGTTGGACCATATTATAAATTTGTTATTAAATATGGACGGGCCTAGTGATTAAATGTTGTTTTTGGCTAGTTTAGAACTTGGCAAAGTCTTTCCAGGTCTGCATTTGTATTTGCAAGTCCGTCAAGTTTTACTTCTGAAGTGTTACATTTAAAAATCGAACTATCCCGCTGTCTTCGTCCTCGTACAATACAATTCGGAAATGAAAGTGCGCAAGTCTAAAACAAATCACTGTTATGGAGCGTACGCATAGTTAATTCTGAAAATGAAAACACACACAAACATATTATATCGTACATGTAACACATTAATTCATTAAAGCCAAATGTGACACCTGACACCTCCTCAACACAATGTAATGAACATTAATTATCGTATTGTTCTTAAATCTAACGATCGACTTTCAAAGCCATACTGGCTCCTGTAAAAACATGGACCCGTAAAGCTGTCCTAGGTTGTGATTTTAACTGTGGAACTCTTTTATGCATGACCACGCTTTGTGACAAATTTTCCAGTTTGCACTGTCGTCTGTTTTGGTGTACAAATCATTAAACGGATCGACTCGCAGTAAGTACGGACTCACAGTTAGTACAGAATACTGTTGATCAACATTAATGAAGTTTTTTTTTTATTATGAACAACATGGTTTTTACAGTCCGCACTCTTTACAGTCTGAAGCTTTATCGTAGAGTCTTTTTACCGATTTAGTCTTCTGACGAAAGATTTTCATAAACACGGAATGGAGAGATGTCGTACTATTGCGTTTTATTTGTATCAAAAAAATAATAAGTGTCAAAATTACATTCGAACATTATGAAGTAGACAATGTTTTGATGCTGGATTTACGCTATTGAAACCAATATCTTACTTCGAGGTATCCAAGTTTTTCGACTTTTCAGGGTTCGAATTATCAGAATTTTATTTTCGAAGATAAAAAAGAGACTTGGCCGAGACCGGAGAAATACTTCGAGATAAACAGGGTCTTCGAGATAACGAGGTTTGACTGTATGATTTGAAATTAAGTTGGATCATAAATGAACAGTTTGAAAAGGGGAGTAATTTTCCATGACTGCTCTATACCTAGGTGAGCAATACAGGCCCTTGGGCCTCTTTTCGTTATTGTCACGACTGTTAATGACACTAGCCAGCAGAAATATTGTACTTGATGATGATATATGTCAGGCTGAATTTTAACATATAAGGCCCTAATTATCATTTTTTTAGCTCACCTGGCCCAAAAGGCTGGTGAGCTTATGGCATGGCGCAGCATCCGTCGTCCGTCCGTCAGTCCGTCAACTTTTTCTTAAAATCGCTACTAGTCATGAACAACTGAGCAGATTTTGACCAAATTTGGTCAGAAGCATCCTTGGGGGAAGAGGAACCAATTTTGTATAAACTGTGGGTCTGGCCCCCCAATGGCCTGATGGGTGGGGCCCAATAGGGGAAATATAGCCAATTCTTTAAAATCCTTCTTCTTCTGTAGGAATAAAAGGATTTGTTCCATATTTGGTCTGAAGCATTCTTGGGTGAGGGGGAACCAATTTTGTATAAACTGTGGGTCTGGCCCCCCAATGGCCTGATGGGTGGGGCCCAATAGGGGAAATATAGCCAATTCTTTAAAATCCTTCTTCTTTTGTAGGAACAAAAGGATTTGTTCCATAATTAGTCTGAAGCGTCCTTGGGGGAAGGGGAACCAATTTTGTATAAACTGTGGGTCTGGCCCCACAATGGCCTGATGGATGGGGCCCAATAGGGGAAATGTAGCTAATTCTTTAAAATCATTCTTCTTCTATAGGATTGAAAGGATTTGTTTCATATTTAGTCTGAAGCATCCTTGGGGGAAGGGGAACCAATTTTGTATGAACAGTGGGTCTGTCCCCCCAGGGTCCTGAGGGGCGGGGCCCAATAGGGGAAATACAGCAAATTCTTTAAAATCCTACTTCTTCTGTAGGAATGAAAGGATTTGTTCCATATTTGGTCTAAAGCATTCTTGGGTGAAGATGAACCAATTTTGTATAAACCGTGGGTCTGCCCTCCTAGGGGAGGGAGGGGCGGGGCTCAATAGGGGAAATACAGCAAATTCTTTAAAATCCTACTTCTTCTGTAGGAATGAAAGGATTTGTTCCATATTTGGTCTGAAGCATCCTTTGGTGAAGGGGACTTAATTTTGTATAAACAGTGGGTGAGGGGCGGGGCCAAAAAGGGTTATTTGGCTATAATTGCTGGAAGCGACTTCTTCTCTGGAACCAAGAGATGGATATCAACCATATTTGATTGGAAGCATCCCTAGGTGGTGGGGATTCAAAATTGTACAAATGGTGGGGCGGACCCCCAAGGGGGCTGAGGGGCGGGGCCAAAAGGGGGCAATCTGGCTATATTGCTATAAACAACTTCTTCTGTAGAACTATGCCATGGATATCAATAATATTTGGTCGGAAGCATTCATGGGAGGCGGGGTTTCAAAATTGTACAAATGGTGGGGCCGACCCCCTAGGGGGCTAAGGGGTGGGGTCAAAAAAAGTGTATTACTTGGAAATGGTTGAGATCCCCATCGTATAACCATATATACAATTGCTGAGTATAAAGAAAAGAATGTACATTTGCTTCCACTGGATGCCCCTGGGGTCTGGCCACANCATACTTTCAATTGCTGGGCATGAAAAATCTAATACAGATATGCTGCAAGGATTGGCCTTGGGGTCTTGCATATTCCCTTGGATCTCATTTGGAGAATATTTTGCCATAATTGCTTAGATATCCAGGTGAGCGATACAGGTCCTCTGGGTCTCTTCTTAATTGTTTGAACTTGAATGTGAACAATTATATATAAACATACATGTATACCGTTTTGTTTTAGTTTAAGAGTAAAGATACAATTGTTTCATTGTAGGTATCAGCTACAGACCCCAACCAGGGAGGTAAGATTTTCTGATTAATCATAGATGGATGCTAGATATATTTTATTTAAAGTCGGTGGGTATTTTAAAAACAAATAGCATAGGTTCTATAGAGTTTATGACCGACATACATGTTACATTTGACATATCATAACTTAGGCAAAACAAATAGTATATTAGTTAAAATACATCAGATTTCAAGTAATTATTAATATGGACAGTTTTCCCACTGTTTCAGTTTTTGTTGTATTTGTTGTATATATAAGGTGTGTTTTCTGTGTATGGCTTTCCTTAGGTTTTGATTCATGCAGTTTTTCTTGTGATTTAGTTTTATAGGTGCGTGTTTGTTGATGGTGTTAGTTACAGAGGTTTCAACATTAAGTGTACGTGTGGAATTTTCTGTAGTTGTAAATAAATAAATCAAACTATCACAACATCAAATTTATGAAATGAAAACTGTTGTGTGTAAGAGTAACAGTCATTGATTATTGAACTATATTTCTGTGTGTTCAGCATCGGTCTATCTTAGCACGATTTAAATCATATTACTGTTGTACAATTGGTCAGAGTTGTATTACCCTTGTTTACTGCGTCCTGTCCTGATCGGTCTCGATTCAGTTCCATCATTTCAATTTCATTATCTTAACAGATTTTAACAAACTGTATTCAAAGGTCAAGTACCGTACTTTGGGGTATTTTTGGCTTTACCAAAAATTAGCATTTTTTTCTCAAAATAGGGTGATTATATTTTGGTGTGTCAAATGTTGGCGTTTTACAATCATTTGTGCTAAAATCTATTGCTTAATACCTACTGTTAAGTAGTGGCTCAATCAGTCCATTGTATTACAGTAGTTGTGCTGCTAAATGACAGGACTCCATCATCTATAGCCTTTGTTTACACTGAAAACATGTTGGTATGGTATGAGTTTTTAGATCCAATACACAACCTATTGTATTACGTTTCTCGCGGCTTGTGAAATTTTGGGGGTGTTTAATTTTGGCTTATTTATTCCAAGCGCCAAATAAAACAAAATATAACCAAAAACCCAAAGTATGGCATGAGAATACCTTAGATGAGTTTATTCACCTTGGGATGGTTGACCATGGAGTGCAGAGTAAAAGGTGAAGGTCACTGCGATCTATGCTCTGACCTTTGACCTTTACCTTGAATAAAGAGTTATGTTCTTTGACCTTTAACCTTAACATTTGAAATAAGATTGTTCGACACATATTGTACACATATTGTATACAGTAATCAGATCTGATATGAAAGTGCATCTTGGTTCACAGACTACAGAGTATAAGGAGTAGGTCACTGTAACACCATCTTGGTTCACAGACTACAGAGTATAAGGAGTAGGTCACTGTCACTCCGTTTTTGACATGAACCATTGAAAAGGTTTGTCTTGGGCATTTCTTCAATACTATTTCACCTAGATAAACCAGATTTTGTACAGTGACCTTGAAAAAGATTGTCTATGGAATATGTTCTATACTATATGTCAAAACAAAATCAGTATGGTGGTACATGTTATGATTTAATTGAATTTAATTGAAAAATAATGGACGCAGGCTGAAAGCCTCTAAGTCCATATCACAAAACATAATATAAAAATATTATATTGTCACTGGTTAACATATATAAACTTTCCCAAAAGAGTTATTTTAAAAGTCATTATCAGTAATTATTGTAAATAGTGTCCTTCAGATGGTTATCCAACAGGATCTCAAAGTCCTTCGTGGTTTCTGCATTTACAACCGATTCCGGTAGACCGTTCCAGATATCAACTACCCTAAACATGAACGAGTGTTCTTTCGTTATTATCGTAGACAAATATGTCTGACATGACTTTCTCATCAAACTTCCTCTTCACAATCTTGAAAACATTAATCAAATCACCTCTAGTCCTTCGGTGTTTTAGTGTCGGTAGTTTTAATTTTTCTAAACGTTCTTCGTAGAAGATTTCTTTAAATCCAGGTAGAAGCTTAGTGGCTCTCCGTCATCTGGATATCTTTAAGTTTATACGGACTCCACGCACTGGCTGCGTATTCTAGATGCGGTCTTACCAGAGCCTTAAATAACTGTCTAAAAATCGATTCGTCCAAAAAAGTAAATGATCTTCTAATAATCCCGAGTACTGAATCTTTTTCACTGTTGATTTTGTCAAGGACGACTTCTCCAGTTTTGCTCGCGAGACGGTATGTTCTATTATTGTTTGGTGATCCTTTAACCTGAAGAACCTTGCATTTATTCGGATGAAATTTCAGAAGCCAATCATCAGACCATTTTTGCTTATCCTCATCAGTTCGTATCTTGCGGTATAATTTAGTATCATCCGCGAATAGAGGGCACGATGACGAAATGTTCTCGGGCATGTCATTGTTATACATAACAAATAGTATTGGTCCTAAACACTCCCCTGAGGAATTCCGCTTAAGACGTTCTGTAATTTGGATGTAGATCCGTTAACCACTACTTTTTGATGTCTATCACTTAAAAAGTTTTCTATCCATTTAACAGTTAAATGATGGCGGATTGTAGTATATGAAAAGTACATTTATGTTACTATAATCTCAGGGGTGTAAAAATATAACTCAAACCACTTGCCCCGGGCAAGTAGACCTTAGAAATCCACTTGCCCGAAAATATTTTCTACTTGCCCCATGTGAAATGCAAATGATATACATGTAAAGACCGAAAAACAGATTTTTCAAAATAATAGGATTTTTCACAAAATATTTTAGTCTTTTTTAGCACACACCTGGCCCAAAGGGCCAAGTGAGCTTATGCCGTGGTGCGGCGCCCGTCGCCCATCTGTCGGCCGGCATCCAGCGTCATTATTTTACTTTAAACAACTTCTTCTTAACAACCAAAAGGCCAGAAGCAAACTGGGATCAAGGGCTACCAAATTTGTTCAAATAAATTACCTTCACCCATTTTCAAGATCACAGGGGTCGAATATGTTTAAAACCTTTAAACAACTTGTTCTGCATGCTCAAGAGGCCAAGGGCTATGCTATTTGTCCGATAGCATGCTGGGAAGGAAGGCTATAAACTCCGTTCAACTTGATGTCCTTGTTCGACTTTCAAGGTCACAGGCGTCATATGTTTAAATCATTTTATAGATTCTAATGAATTGAACACAGATATTTTGCCTTTAGCTGTATATTAGTCCACTTTTAAGATTACAAGTGTGAGATTAATACCAGGTGAGCGATTCAGGCCCATTGGGCCTCTTGTTATTATTAGGGCTTTTCACCAACTGGTGAAAAGACCTATTGTTTTTGTTATGTTTCTTCTTCTTCTTCTTCTTCTTCTTCTTATTCTTCTCCTCCTACTTTGTGGAGTCTGTATCTTTTGATTGGTAGAAGATAGGTTTATAGTATTTTAGGTATGTTGTAGGCCAAGGTCTGAAGATGTTACAGGAACATTTTTAAGAAGGTTAAAATCCAATATGGCCACCATGACAAATCTTTAAAACCGCTATAACGCGATAACTGTTGATTGTACAGAATTTGTGCAATTATATTATTTGTAGATAATTTCCATATCTAACTTTTTCTCATTATATGTTAATACAAAATATTTCAAATAAAAAAGCTCGCTGTTGGGTCAAAAGATCACCATTTTTTTTAAAAAAACATTAATCTTTCATTTTTTTTGGAAAATTCTTCTACAGATCGATGTAGAATGCCATTCCAATGGATTTGATGTCTTTAGTTTTTCTGTAACGTTTTCCGTTAACGTCTTATGGCGTGTTCATTATTATTGCCTTTGATCTTTTTTGAAATGCCGACACTATTTTTACAAACTTCAACGATCTTCTTCTCCAATTCTGCCATTGCAATATTAACAACAATTGGGACATCTATTCCTCTGGGGGCCCTTACAAACTTATGTTACTTTTTGGAGCTATTTATATTCCAAGATGGCCGCCACGAACTCTGATTGGTTAACAGCCTATACCTATAGATTTCGTTAACAATATCAAGCACGTGGTTGATCTTTGGATATCATATAGAGATAAGCAAGTGCAAACTTTTTCTTTCATACTGTTTTAACAAAAAATGTCAACTTCCGGTTTTCGGTAGGGGTCAAAGTTCAAATGCACTACATTGGGTAACAAACTTTAAAAATCTTCTTCTCAAGTTCCACGAGGTCTAGAGTCTTGATATTTCATATTTAGGATGTTGGGATGTTAAGGTATCAGGTTTGAAAAAATGGTTGACCTTCATCAACTATCAAGATCGAAAAGGTCAAATGTTTAAAAAAACAAGAGGCCCATGGGCCTTAACGGTCACCTGAGTCCTACAATATTTATTTTTGTTGTTGAAATATGTACCAATTTGAGTAAAAAATAGTATAATGTTAACTTAACTTTGTCAGGACCATGAGCTGATCATTCCTAGACCAATTTTAAGTGAGATCGGCCTATTAGAACTTAGTAGCAAAATAGCGGCCATGGCAGCCAAATTGTATTTCTGATTGACCCGAAAAATAACAACACTTTGTCAGGACCATGAGGCGATCATTCCTACCAACTTTCAGTTCAATCGGTCCAGCAGAACTTGACTTTAAGTTTGAAATAGGTTTTCAAAATGGCGGCCGTGGCGGCCATATTGGATTTCTGATCGACCCGAAAAATAACAACACTTTGTCAGGACCATGAGGCGATCATTCCTACCAACTTTCAGTTCAATCGGTCCAGCAGAACTTGACTTTAAGTTTGAAATAGGTTTTCAAAATGGCGGCCGTGGCGGCCATATTGGATTTCTGATCGACCCGAAAAATAACAACACTTTGTCAGGACCATGAGGCGATCATTCCTACCAACTTTTAGTTCAATCGGTCCGGCAGAACTTGACTTTAAGTTTGAAAAATGTTTTCAAAATGGCGGCCGTGGCGGCCATATTGGATTTCTGATCGACCCGAAAAATAACAACACTTTGTCAGGACCATGAGGCGATCATTCCTACCAACTTTTAGTTCAATCTGTCCAGCAGAACTTGACTTTAAGTTTGAAATGTTAAATGTTAACGGACGACGGACGACGACGGACGAAAACGGATAGCAATAGGTCACTTGAGCTAAAGCTCAGGTGACCTAAAAATTAAAAAAAATCAAGAATATTTCGAAAATTGTTCGATAGATTCACTTTATATTCAGGTATGATGTGGACGACACAAATGCGCACATTTTTGGCTGAAACCATTTTGAGTTGACCAGGTCAAGTTTTGAGTTATTTAGGGGTCAAATTTCATATGTGCTATTTCAAGATAATGACTTCAAAAAACTTCTTCTAAAGTTCTACAAGGTCTAGAGTCCTACTATTTGATACATAACATGTCAGGTAATTGACTATCAAGTTTGAAAAAATGATTTACTTTGAATGACTTTCAAGGTCAAAGATGTCATATATGTAAAAATATTGAAACCACTTTTTCTGAATAACCCATTAATTCCAGGGTATCGATGTTTGGCAAGAAGCATGATTGAATGAAGGGCTTCAAAGGGTGTGCAAATGAATGACCTTCACCTACTCTAAATATAATTTCAAAAGTGAAAGTCAAAAACCGTTTTCATTTTTTAAAGCGATTTTGAAGTGTTCTCAGTACTCTCAGTACTTTGATTTATATTAAGACATCTAATACACGTTGGTAATACTACATCAATTACTACGCACGCCCAATCTTAAAAGTATGGATAGTTTACATCTCTACTGTGGTGGGTAAACATCAGCCTTTCTTTGGCATGGCAAACCCAACCGATATTGACAAAAAGCTAGTTTCAATTCATCATCATGTACATAGTTGATGGACTATAGGACTTTTACGGACTACATTCGTATACAACTAAGTCCATTGGCTGCCTATATATATCCATTCTTTCTCCAACGTCATTTCGCACTCCGGGAATCCCCCACTACTCAGTCAGCTACTGTAGACTTGCACAAGTTATTATTAGAAGGCCAAATCAATCCTTACAGTGAAAAGCCTGTCAAATTGTTAGCCAACAATTTCTAGTTATTATTATTAGCTCACCTGGCCCGAAGGGCCATGTGAGCTTATCCCATGGTGCAGTGTCCGTCGTCCGGCGTCCGTCAACTTTTTCCTTTGAAATGCTACTTGTCCTGAATGGCTCAGAGGATTTTGACCAAATTTGGTCAGGAGCATCATTGGCCAAAGGGTTCTCATTTTTGTATAAACGGAGGGTATAACCCCCCTGTGGGCAGAGGGGCGGGGCCAAATAGGGGGAAAATAGGTAAATCTTTAAAAATCTTCTTCTCAACCAATAGAAGAATTTTGACCAAATTTGTCCTTGAGCATCTTTGGACAAAGGAGACTCAAGTTTGTATAAACGGAGGGTGTGGCCTCTTTGGGGGCAGAGGGGCGGGGCAAAATAGGGGAAGTAGAGGATTTTTTCTCTCCTACTATACAAGTGAAGGGATTTAAACCAAATGCAGTCTGAAGCTTGGTCAGGAGCATCATTGGCCAAAGGGTTCTCAGTTTTGTATAAACGGACGGTATAGCCCCCCCCCCGGGCAGAGGGGCGGGGCTAAATAAGGGGAAAAAAGGTAAATCTTTAAAAATGTTCTTCTTCTCAACCAATTGAAGGATTTTGACCAAATTTGTCCTAGAGCATCTTTGGACAAAGAAGACTCAAGTTTGTATAAACGGAGGGTGTGGCCCCTCTGGGGGCGGAGGGGCGGGGCCCAATAGGGGAAATAGAGGATTTTTTTTCTCCTGCTATACAAGTGAAGGGATTTTAACCAAATGCAGTCTGAAGCATGATTAGGGACAAAAGAATCAATTTTGTATAAACTGAGGTGTGTGGGCCTCCTTCTAAGGGCAGATGGGTGGGGCCCATTAGGGGAAATAGAGGAAAACATCAAATATCCTTCTCCTTTTGTACCGATGAAGGGATTTTGACCAAATTTGGTCTGGAGCATCATTGGCCAAAGGGTTCTCAGTTTTGTATGAACGGAGGGTATGGTCCCCCTGGGGGCAGAGGGACGGGGCCAAATAGGGGAAAATAGGTAAATCTTTAAAAATCTTCTCCTCAACCAATTGAAGGATTTTGACCAAATTTGTCCTAGAGCATCTTTGGACAAAGGAGACTCAAGTTTGTATAAACGGAGGGTGTGGGCCTTCTGGCGGCATAGGAGCGGGGCCCAATAGGGGAAATAGAGGATTTTTTTTCTCCTACTATACAAGTGAAGGGATTTAAACCAAATGCAGTCTGAAGCATGCTTAGGGAGAAAAGAATCAATTTTGTTTAAACTGAGGTGTGTGGATTCCCCTTCTTTGGGGCAGATTAGTGGGGCCCATTAGGGGAAATAGAGGAAAACATTAAAGATCCTTCTCCTTCTGTACCGTTGAAGGGATTTTAACCTAACCAAACTTGTTTTAGAGAATCTTTGGGCAAAGGGAATTGAATATTTATAAATGGAAGATGCAACTTTGTTACTTGTACTCCTTTGATAAACCTGAATGGTACTCAGCAGGTTTTAAATTGAAAAATAAAATACCAGGTGAGCTATTAAGGCCCCTGGGCCTCTTGTTATTATTATCAAAGGCACAACAATTTATTTGATCTTTTTAGTTTTTCATTTTATTTTAGGGATCTGTATTTTAGGGACCTTGGAGATACTTGGAATTTGATGTTTTCTATTCTCTATTCCGTTTTAGAAGTTGACGGTGGTCCCCCGATGACAAATGTAGCAGGGGCCTGTGCCCGTACCCATCAGATGGCCGTTACTGGGACAACCCTGGGAAGGGACCAAGAAACCTACCTTTGTGATTCTGTGGGTAAGACTTGTGTGTTTAATCCAACAACTGGCTCTCAGACAGTAGGCCACCTCAGACAGCCAAATGGGCAGATTTGATTGATGATGGATGTTGTAACAGTCATATTACTTTGATATATGCTAGTTTAATCTGATTGTAAAAAGATGGATGTTCACAAATGTTTTATCTTTTAGCTTGAGAATAGTTTAAAAGAAACACCATTAAAAGAGAAAAACAAATCAAGATTTCTGACATTTTCTGATTAAAATATTATTGGAAAAAAGGGGGGAAAATGCTTAATCACTGCACTGCAATAAATAGAATGTGTGTGAAGTATTTTGTCTTTAGAGAGATTTAAGTTGAATGATTAATAAGTGTCCTCTCTCCTGTCATGTTTACCCACAGGTTGGCAGTTTTACCTTGACTACTTGGCCTCCAAACTTGCTGCAGAAATTTCAAAAATGTCTGTTTACTTGGGTCTGGAGTCTGCAAAATGGGATGAAATTAAAATCAGGTGCAAGTCGAACCTTCATGAAATGTGCTTCAATGTTCTATGGACGTGGTATGGAAGGAATCTAGACAGGGAGACACGCATGAAGCAAATGAGCACTGCCTTAAATGACTCGGATCGCGCAGACCTGGCCAAGGAACTGATGGAAGGAAAGGTGCCAGTTCCAGAAAACTACTTGTACCATGGTGAGATTAAAAACCCTGATGCGAGAGTTAGCAGTAGCGATGCCCGCAAAGTCATAAAATATCTGACCTTGACTTGCCAGAGTCTGGCACGTTATTTTGGACTAGATGAAAACAATATTCAGTGTATCTGCATTGACAATAATGATGACATACAGGAACAGTCATACAACACCATAATGGTGTGTATCAAACAAAAGAAGCTCAAAAACCGACGGCAGCTGTGTAATGGCCTTGCTTACCTAGAACAATTCACAACTGTATCAGAGCTTAACCAGATGTGGTGACCTCGTTCGTATTTGTGCCTTAATTACTCATTAGTTTGAATGAGACGCTGACAAATTATGTATTTTTGATGTAGTTTCATTTGAGGAATATATTTTGGTGAATTTTGAAGGGTAACACTCAACAATAGTCTCTGAATTTAAATATTCTGATCAACAAAAGCAAGGTTCACATATTTACAATTACTGCAAAGTTTAACTGAAATTATTCTTTATTATAAATTCTTGCAACATGTCCTATTTCACATTATATAAAAACTAACTTAGACAAAATAGCATTGCCTAGAGAAAGCAAGCTGATAAGGGGAAATAGTTTGATCGTCCCCATCAGTTGTCACTATACTGTATAGCGGTTATATTTCGTGGGGGACTAATATCCGCGAATTCTTAACACCAGCTAATTTATCAAAAATGTTAACTACTTTTACGGACCTTGTCACATCATGTTGAAAATACTTATAACCCAACGCTGTAATGCAAGCTTAAATGAACTGGAATCAGATTATCACCGGAAAACTGGACAGTCCATGTACAAACAACACTTACATGTAAGTGGTCACAACATTTTTAGCTCAGCTGGCCCGAAGGTGAGGTGATAAGATGAGAGTGAGGACGATACGAGCTTATGCCATGGTGCGGCGTCCGTCGTCCGTCCGTCGTCAACTTTTTACTTAAAAAACTTCTTCTGAAAAACCAAGAGGCCCAGGCATATGATATTTTGTCAGTAGCATGCTGGGATGAAGGGCTACCAATTTTGTTCAAATGAATGACATTTGCCCATTTTCAAGGTCACAGGGGTAAAATATGACAATATCTGTAAATAACTTCTTCAGAATAACCAGAAGGCCCCGGATGATGATTTTTGGCCATTAACATGCTGGGATACAGGGCTACCTAGTTTGTTCAAATGAATGACCTTCCCGTATAGTCAAGGTCCAAGGGGTCAAATATGTTGAAATCTTTAAATAACTTCTAAATAACCAAGAGGCCTAGGGTGTTGATATTTGGCCAGTAGTATGCTGAGATGAAGCACTACCAAGTTTATTCAAATGAATGAACTTCGCCTATATTCAAGGTCACAGGGGTCAAATATGTTGAAATCTTTAAATAACTTCTTCTGAATAACCAGAAGGCCCAGGATGATGATATTTGGCCAATAACATGCTGGGATGAAGCACTACCAAGTTTGTTCAAATGAATGACCTTCCCGTATAGTCAAGGTCCAAGGGGTCAAATATGTTGAAATCTTTAAATAACTTCTTCTGAATAACCAAAAGGCCCAGGATGATGATATTTGGCCATTAACATGCTGGGATGAAGCACTACCAAGTTGTTCAAATAAGTGACCTTCGCTCATATTCAAAGTCACAGGAGTCAATTGTCTTAAAAACCTTTAAACGACTTCTATTGTATAATCAAAAGGTCCAGGGTGATGATATTTGGCCAGAAGGATATTGGCATGAAGCGCTACGAAGCTCATCAAATGAATGACTTTCGCCCATATTCAGGTCACAGGGGTTATTTGTCTTAAAAACACTTAAAAAAACGACTTCTTCTGAATAACTAAAGCGTCCAGGGTGATTGCTTGTTCATGTGAATGACCCTGACACACTTTCAAGGTCACATCTGGTCCACAGTGCATCAATCTTAAAAGTCATCTTCTCAGTAGACAAAAGGTATAGGGCCATTAGGGTGGTGATATTTGACAATTTGCATTCTGGGATGAAGGCTATAAAGTTTGTTAAATTTAATGTCAGTGGTTGACTTTCAAGGTCATAGGGGTCAAGTGTGTTTAAATCGTTTAACAGGTTCTTCTGAATGCCTTAAGTCAAGACACAGATATTTTGCATGTAGCTTATTTTAGTCCACTTTTAAGGTAACAATTGTGAGATTAATACCAGGTGAGCGATGCAGGCCCATTGGGCCTCTTGTTTATTCCTATTTTATGTTTAAGCTGGAGTTTCAGCTATTTTCATTGGCCTTAATAATTGTCTGAATTGATGGATAGGACGCTAGTATTCAACCGGCAATGTTTCCCTCAAAACGACGATTAAAACATAGGTGTTTGGGGGAACGGAGAAACACATGCAAAAACATGTTGTATAAACCATTCTAATGGACTTGCCCGGGTGCTAAAACTGGTTGTCCCGGGCGTCGGGCAAGTGGAAATTTTCACGCCTGAATCTCTGCCTGAACCCAGTCATTGATAAAGATTGTCCGGAGCATACATGTATCTCAAATATAACTTCACCAGGAGTAACTAGATTTGGTATGCAAATATATCGTGGTATGGGTGGAGTGCAGGGTTTGAGAAGTATTAAGTCACTTTGACCTATGCTTTGACCTTTGACCATATCGTTTGAAAAATAAATGTCCATGATCATATGTCCTATATTATTTATCTATTAAGATTAACCAAATGCAGATATATCTTATGCTGGCAGAGTGCAGTTTACAAAATGAAGGTCAGTGTGATCGCTGACCTCTGACCCCAGAATTGGAGTAAATCAGGCCTGCACAATGAAGGCAAAGTTAATACAATGTACTTAAATATATAAACATCATCAATACATATACTCCATGATTTATTTTAACCTGTAGCTCACCTGCTCGATGGGCAAGAGAGCTTATGATATGTTGTGGCGTCCAGCGTCCGTCCATTGTCGTCCCTCAACTTTTCTTTTAGACAACTTCTGAAGACGGACAGGCATAGAGTCATGATATTTAACTGAAAGTTTTGTAGTAGGAGTCCAACAAAGTATTTGAACGAAAATGACCTTGACCTACTTTCAAGGTCACAGGGGTCAATTGTGTCAAACACTTCAAACAACTTCTTCTGAAGAACTGAAAAGTATATCTGGCTGGTTGATTCCTAGGATAGAGTCCAAAAAAGTTTGAGAATAAAAATGATTTTGACCTTCTTTCAAGGTCACAGCGGTCAAATATGTCAAACGCTTCAAACGACTTCTGGGATAGAGCCTGACAAAGTTTGAGAAAATTACCTACTTTCAAGGTCACAGTGGTCAAATGTGTCAAACACTTCAAACAACTTCTTCTAAAGAACTTAAAGGTATAGAATCTTCATATTTGGCTGGTGGCTTCCTGGGATAGAGCCCAACACAGTTTGAGAATGATAATAACTTTGACCTTGTTTCAAGGTCACAGTGGTCAAATGTGTGAAACTCTTCAACGACTTCTTCTGAAGAACTGAAAGGTTATAGAATCATAATATTTGGCTGGTGACTTCCTGGGAAAGAGCCCAACAAAGTTTGAGAGCGAAAATGACCTTGACTTACTTTCAAGGTCACAGGGGTCAAATATGTCAAACACCTTCAACAACTTCTCCCAAATACTCTAAAAGAATGGAATTATAATATTTGGCTGGTAGCTTCCTAGGATGTAGCCTGACAAAGGTATAGAATCTTAGTATTTGGCTAGTTACTTCTTTGGATTGACCAAGACAAAGTTTGCGAATGAAAATGACCTTGACCTACTTTCAAAGTCACAGGGGTCAATGTGTCAAAAACATCGCACGACTCCTGAATAATCGTAAGCCAACAAAGTTTGCAACTGGAGTATTTGTAGTACAGAATAATATTTGAAGAAAATAATTTGCTATGACAGCTTAAATATCAAGGTGAGCGACATATGCTCTCTGGACCTCTAGTTAGAAGTGTTGCCGCCACGGGAAACTTCCATTTTTTTTGCTGGCGGAACACATTCTTAAGAGTGCAACTGGTCCCACAGCTTTCCTTTAAATTTTACGACATTTTGTATGTGACATAGGTATCATATGGAGATTCACATATCCTACATTAGGATTCTGTGTCAGGACGGAGCGTGACACATTTGATTTGGTTCTTCTGCCTCCTTATTTAAATACTCTACTTGAGCCTGATGCTTCACTACACAAAGTTTTTCATATTTTATATGTAACAAGCATGTCTCTATGTAAATATTTTATATGTAACAAACATGTCTCTCTATGTACATATTTAGCTCACCTGGCCCGTACTGCGGCGTCCGTCTGTCGTCCGGCGTCCGTCCATCAACTTTTTCTTTTAAACAACTTCTTCTGAAGAACCGGAGGACCTAGGGTCATGATATTTGGCCATTAGGTACCTGGGATTGAGTGGTATAACGTATCCTCATTAAAATGACCTTGACCTACTTTCAAGGTCACAGGGGTCAAATATGTTCAAAAATTGAAACAACAATATCCTAAGAACCATTTGGACTAGAGTCAGGATACTTGGGTATGTTATGCAGACCAGCAGTGCGAATCTTTTTTTTATGACAGTTATGATGTCAAAGGTCAACTTTAAGTGCTAGTCGGGGGTCAAATGTCGACATGGGTTAAAAGGTTTAACAATGTTCTTCTCAAGTTCCATAAGGCCCAGGGTCATAATATTTGGCCAATATGTACCTGGGATAGAGTACTCTAACGTTTTCGCATTAAAATGACCTTGACCTAGTTTCAAGGTCACAGGGGTAAAATATGTTAAAAACTTCAAACAACAATATCCTTGACCTAATAACCATTTGGACTAGAGTCGTGATATTTGGGTATGTTATCTAGACCAGCAGTGCGAATCTTTTTCTTATTCACAGTTATGAGGTAAAATGGTCAATTTAAAGTGCTAGTCAGTGGTCAAATGTCAACATGGGTTAAAAGCTTTACCAATCTTCTTCTCAAGTTCCAGAAGGCCCAGGGTCATGATATTTGGCTAGTAGGTACCTGAGATGGAGTGCTATAAAGTTTCCTCATTAAAATTACCTTGACCTAGTTTCAAGGTCACATGGGTCAAATATGTTAAAAACTTCAAACAACAATATCCTAAGAACCATTCGGACTAGAGTCGTGATACTTGGATATCTTTTTCTTTATTACAGTAATGAGGTCAAATGTCAACTTAATAGATGTTAAAATGTCTTGTGTTCTAGTTACCAAATTTGGTCTGAAGTTACTTATATGTCAGTTTCATTTAACAAAAGAAACAGGTGAGCGAAACAGGCCCTCTGGGCCTCTTTTTTTATATATAACAAGCATGTCTCTCTATGTGTAACAAGCATGTCTCTATATTTACATATTTTTTATATAACAAGCATGTCTCTCTATGTACATATTTTTTATATAACAAGCACGTCTGTCTATGTACATATTTTATATGTAACGAACATGTCTCTCTATGTATATATTTTATATGTAACAAACATGTCTATCTATGTATATATTTTTTATATAACAAACATGTCTCTCTATGTATATATTTTATATGTAACAAACATGTCTCTCTATGTACAATTTCTTATATAACAAGCATGTCTGTCCATGTACATATTTTATATGTAACAAACATGTCTGTCTATGTACATATTTTATATGTAACAAACATGTCTATCTATGTACATATTTTATATGTAACAAACATGTCTGTCTATGTACATATTTTATATGTAACAAACATGTCTATGTACATATTATATATGCAACAAGCATGTCTGACTATGTACATATTTTATATGTAACAAACATGTCTCTCTATGTACATATTTTATATGTTAAATTTTTCCTTCATATGCATATATGTTTATTGTTGTTATACAAGTTCTGAGAATAATGACATGATATACACTTTGGTGAAGTAACACACAGACATGTAGAAACGTAACTGAACGATGCAAGACTTTTAC